AGTAGCTTAATAGATTGCATCTGCTTTGTGATTAGGAATGCATTAAGAGAACAATACTGATGAGAAATTTTCTTTGGCTGGTCTCTCACAGCCCCTGGGATCTTCAACACGCTGTTACACCCTGTTGTAGTGATACTATTAATGCAAATCTGTATGTACTTTGTCACAGTAGTAACTTGTTACTGTAAGAAACAGGTGAAGCTCTGCATTGATAAGCAGGTGAAAGGACTGGGACTGGCCAAGCACCTCCTACCACAGTTAAGAGCAAGACTGGGTTGGCCTCTGTGTTTGCCACCAAGAAGAACCCTGACCTCTGCTGTTGGCTGCAACCCAGCAGGCGTTGAGCGGTGGAGACGTGCCATACTTGATGTGAGGGATGGCCTCCCTTGTTATAAGAAAGCCATCCAGGAGGAGAGGGCAGGCATGAATCACCAAATGGTTGCATCTGGACATCCATTCGACAATTGCAACACACCAAAGCCCAGATCATGTCCGCCCTCATCTTGAGTGGCATTTAAAAAAAAACAACAGCAGAGATGTGGAGAATAGGCACGGGAAAAGAAAAAGGGCCTCCTCTGTCTGTAACTATGGTGGCTGTGACACAGACTCTAGGGGGAGAAGCAATGGAATTGTTTATTATGAGAAAAAATGCTCCCTTATATACTTTTACAGTGGGAACTGAGAAATAAGCAACCAAGGTGCAAAGAATGTAAACAGCATTCACACCTGCTCCATGGCACATACACAGACCTTGGGTTCCCAGGATCAGAACACCCACTCTTGAGAAAGCCATCATGTATTTGAGAGAAATAGCTGTGTGAGAGCTGATCTATGATAAAGATGGACTTACAAATCCTGATGATGTTCTGTGCAACACACAAATGTTCTGGAGGCTTGTGCAAGTTGCACCAGCAGCACACACCTATATCCTTCATGGGATGTTTTGATGAGGATGCAAGGCCAACTGTGCGTCAAGTGGCTTTCAGAGCACGACTGTATGGAGACATAATTTCTGATTCCTATCAGTTCCATATTCCAGATTACAGTGAAATTGTGAAACCTCTCTATGCGGTGACCCAAAACAAGAGTGACTTTAAATGAGGTCCTGACCAACAGAAACCTTTTGAGCAGTTCAAAAAGGAGATTGTGCAGGCAGTGGCCCTTGGACCAGTTCAAACAGGGCCAGACATCAAAAATGTGCTCTACACTGCAGCCGGGTACAACGGTCCTAGCTGGAGCCTCTGGCAGAAAGCACTAGGGAGACTCAAGGACGACCCTTGGGATTTTGAAGCCAGATCTACAGAGTTTCCGAGGCCAACTACATGACAACTGAAAAGGACATACTTGCAGCATATGAAGGAGTTAGAGCTGATTTGGAAGTGATCGGCACTGAAGCGCAGCTCCTCCCTGGTGCCATGATGTCTCATCATGGCCTGCAGGGGAATCTCTGCTCTGGCACATCTCCTCCCCCTCCCTCTCGCTGACCTTGGCATCTCTACTCAGGTGTTGTTCCCACCTCATCCTCTTCTCCCTCCTGCAGGTCTTTTAGCATTTACCTCCAATGCACCAGGTCGCCTTCCACCAGCCAAGGATCTGTTGCAATTGTGAACACTACCATCCATTCCTCAGCAGATTTCTGAGGAACAAAACATTTCTTTCCTTGTCTTGGTGGTCATATTGCTTATCACCATAATGCACCAAAGTTGCAAGCTGGGCATTTAAGATCTATGAACTATCCATACACAATTCAACTCCAGTAACAGACACCATAAAGGAGGCAGAATCAACTTTCAAAAAACTAATTTTAATTTAAAAAAAAAAAATTATTGATCATTAACAAGTTTATAAAACAGTGATTTAGTTACATAAATAAATTGATATCAGTGTATCAAATCTTAATTACTTTCAACTTTATGAGCATGTTTACATGGATGATGAAGTACAACCTTTTAACCTATTATAATAAATAAAATAGAGAGCATGAAATTGTTTTTCTAAACAAAAATACCTACAAACATACCTCTAGCATGTTCTCTAATGAAGGGAACAAGAGACACTGGACAACTTTTGCACCAAAACATAAAAACTGCTCTAAAAAGCACAAAGATACAGAACCATCAGCTAAAGTAAAGACACTATACTGTAACCAAAGTTGTTATTTAATAATTTAATGAATGGTTTGGTAGTTATATCTGCTGTTTGGTTATTGTAAAGCATTAAGACAAGGCAAGATAGAAGGCTGCTTTTGTTGGAGTAATTCTAGAGAAAATAAAATATATTTTAAAAAAACAGAACAGAAAAGTAGAACAGTCATACCTACACAACTTTCTGTCCTGCACAAAGTCAAAATACCTATGCAGAATATATATAATATATATATATTTGTGCACAAATGTTAGCTTATTATTAGCTCACTGCAAAGGTGTAATGTATCATGTCAATAATTTTGCATTATGTGTCAAAAAAGGATATTTTTTTTTAAGTTTCCTAGGCTAGGAGGCACAAACTCCAATTCTGGCATACTGTATTCTTAATGCTAAGGCTTGCTGCTCTGGCTGTATATTTTTTGTTGTCCCTCTTTACTATAGTGCCTGTTACAAGCATGTGTGTATACATATATATGTATACATGGCTTGTATAAATTTAAACATATATAAAAATTTCCCCCAATAGGTATCAGTCCAACCATGAAATCCAAAAGGTGGCTCTGCATAGATGCCCAGCATATAGTTCACCACCTGAGCCAACCCTGAAGCAAGGCGCACTTTAGTCCTTAGGATAGGTTTTCTTTTTTTAAAACCAAGCTACTGCAGCATCAAATATTTTGCATTACATAGATTTTTTTAAATAAATTAATGTTATATTTTTTCAGTATTCAGACATATACTATAATATATATATAGTACAATAAATGCTCTCATTCTTTTAAATTATTTTTTTTTTGTGATAAATCCCTGAGAATGTATGTTGACAGTTGCTAAGTTTCCACATGCACAAGCATTGTGTGCCATGCTTCTGGATGAACAGCACTGCAAAGCCACGTGGTCAGCCTTTTAACTATTAGTATTTAATTTGTTGGTTTATTTAAGTTTGCTGAAATGTGAGGATGAGTTAGAAAGGAGTAAAGCTGAATCCATTTGAGGTACTTATCACAGGATGGAGGTGTTTTGTGTGGTTTTTAAAGCCATTGCAATATATATTTGTTTTTTGAGGCTGTGAACATATACAGAAAGGACAGGAGAGCGATGTGGGCTTTTACCACTTGACAACATATACTCAGTGTAAACCAAACCTTTTTAACCTCTCATACAAAACAGAAAAAAGAAAAAAAAACAACCACACAACTTTTCACATAACAGTTATTTGCAAACTCAGTATAACTGTACACATATAATACCGGTGTGACTCTGTTTCTTTATGTTCAAAAGGATACAAAGGCAGGCTCAAGTAAAAAACCAACACCCTCCCCCCCTCCCGCCTCATTTTCATCAACCAAACCGCTCACGAACCAACATCATCAGTTTCTTTTTGCCTTTGTAGATTTGTTTTAGGTTGTCAATAAACTGTGTAAACTGGATGTGTCCATCATGAGCCATTAAGAAGGTCTCTCGGGCCTTGCTGAGGAACTCTATAAACTCACTATAGTGTCGCGGGCTGATATGAGTGAGACGTGAATGAGTTGTATTAATGTAGGCTCCGATTGTGGCATCCAAGAGTTGCCTTAAAGGGGCTTTGTCCAGTGACATGAGCTTAACAGAGTTCCTCCTTCCATGAAGTCCCACCATGCCAGGAGTGGTCAAAGTACACCTACGCAAAATATCTGACAGTACTGTAGCACATTTTACACTTTTGACCACCAGAGGTATTATAGCTGCTAGCTCATTTTTCCCAAGGGAGTGGCTGAGTGCACATGCCCACAGAACGTCATTAATGGCAGGGTGTGTGTCCTGATTGTAACTCAGGTTGAGATGTGCCATGGCCAAAGTGGCCAGCTTGTAGGCCCGCATGGGATAACCACGGTGCTCCATGTATCGTGCTATAGTAAAAAGCTGCGAGTAGCTCATGCCAGTTGTAGCAGCATCTAGAACAATTTGGTAAGCGGTCTCAAAAGCTATGTGATCCTTTTCACATAAGGTCAGTGCAGAGAGGGCACAGTTTTGAGGATCCTTCATGGCACACTGTAGAGCAAGTGTCCTAGCACTGCTGGCCAGCTTCTCCTGCTGATGGCAGTCCAGATGCAGATGTACAATGGTGCTGTTGGACATCACTGTTGTAGCAACAATACTAGTAGCTTCTGTTGGAGTGAAAAGTGTAAACCAGTTTTGCATTATACTATCCAGTGCATAAACACCTGGGGAGAGAAAGAAAGGATTAGCCACAACTGATAAAACCTAGTAGATGTTCAGCAAGAGATTACATTTTCAAAGTCTAAGACATTGCCAGTACATCCAAGGAGATGTGCTTCAGCAAGAAGGGCTAAATCAGATAACAACATTCATTTCCCAATTAAGCATAAAGCAAAGAATAAACTAATCCAGATAATAAGCAGCAACAATCCTTTGAAGTTCCAAAACTCAAGAAGCATCTATGCAATACAATCCAACTCAGATGTATGAAAAAGGAGTAAATACAGTAGGGAAGTATACTTTCAAAAAATATCTTTAGTGACAATTAAAATTGTTCCCTTATCATAGTAAGTATATTGTTCTCACTACCACAGCTGCTGATTTTTAATTTATTTTTTTTTACAGCCACACAATTTTGAATGCCCTCATCTTCACTTTCAGATTCTGCATCCTCATGTTGCAGATGGTAAACTGGAATACAGAAGCTAAGGGACACTTCATCAAGACACACAAGAAATATATGACAAAGCCCAGAAATGAACATAATGTCCTATTGAGTGCATTATTCTCCCACTGTTATCTTTTCAGTATGAGGCTAGTTCTGCTCCTACCTTATTTTCACCTTATGTGGTTAAGGATGGGTGCATTAGTGTTTGGTTTGCTTTCCAGTGCAGATGAGAGGCCTGCACAATGTCATAAACACATAACAAAGATGCATTGCACTCTAAGATTGGATTTACCCAAGGGCTTAAACGCCTCCTCTCAAAAAACTCCAAACAACAATCAATGAGAACCCCTTCATGAGATCTTGTCTGCTACACAGTGGGAGGCATCCTCAGAATTTCATTCACCTGTTTTCTGTTTCCTCTTCCCCACAGCTGACCACATAGTGCTCTCACCAGTCTTTTGGAGCCTCACCTTTCAGAGCAAGCAAAGTTGTAGCATAGTGTAACAGCCCATAATCACAAGCCTTTTCTCTGCTGCAGCCTCAAACCCAAACCCAATGTGGAGGGGACAAGGGGAAATCTGGGTTTTTTGCTATGAGATTATGCACATCCCTATCTTGCAGGGGAAATAATTCACACTGCGTTACTCAACTATTGTCTCCCCTGGCCTGTGCCTATGTCCTGGTTGTTGATCCTGAGTCAAACTGTGACAACACTTTATTGGCACCCAACGTGGGGCTCGATTTTGAGCCCAGATTATACATTTTCACTAATTGGGAGTGTTCAACATTCCATCTCTGATGGGAGGAATCCCTCAGATAGCAATGGGAAACACTTCTGCTGAATTTAATGACAGATTGAAAACTGAACAGACACTTTCTGCAATGTATCTGCTGGACTTTTTTCCCAACATGCAATTGTACATGTGGTATGCAGCCGAGCGCATAATGCTCTGTGTAGCTGCTATTGTTATTGTTTTATGGTCTATCGACAGAGCTGTAGCCATAATCAACCATATAATTATCAGCCTAGTGATCCTAGGGTTTATGATACTGATCTTTATGGGGGCACTGTATGTGTAGTTACGGTACAGATCCTAAAGTGAACGGAACGGTCTATGTTTGTAATGGCAGTAGCAGGTTCAAATTTACCTCTCCATTTTCTCTCAAGCTGAATCTCCCAGCTCTTGATCTGAATAGCACTGTTGCAGTAGGGATGCTTCTGCTCAATGTTTATAATGTATTGTGGATGCGTAGGGTGAGGTGTTCCACTCACTGCCAATCCCTCACAGGCAATGCTGCTGCCACTGCTGGTGAGGGTGCCTCCACCACTGCTGTTGAAACCACCACTAGTGCTGCTACAAAAAAACCTGCTTCTGCAAAGATCAAGTCCACTCCCTTTCTAATCAAACTAGTTAATCCTGTGACCAGGAGCAAAGCAAAGGCAAAACGCTCCTCCCTTTTTACCTGCTCCTCTCTGAGACATCCAGTTTCTTCAAGCAACGATAGTGAATTAGAGACTTAAGGGTTACATTTGCTATACCTATATGATGCTGAATAGTAGAATCTGTTAATGTTTGTTAGAGGTGTGCTGAACTACTAGGATGTGTCTTGCCTGATAGCCCAAGAAGCAGGATTCAACTGCGTACATGAGCCAACCTGCCAGAATGAGGAACAACATGACCCAGCACAGCGAAGAAGACAACTAGCCTTCCTCCAAGAGACCCCTGCCCACGACCACCGAGAGGCAGTGCGCATGCGGGAAAGGGCGTGACTTTATGTTAATGACTTTGGGGAGATGATTTAAATATTATAACGAAGCCAGGGAATAATCCTGCCTATTCTTTTGTTAGGTAATGCATATGTATATTTTTAAGTGAATATATATGTATTGTTTTTGTCCGTTGGCGTGCGTATTCGGAGGAACGATCCCCCACGCACCCAGTGCTGCAATAAAGAATACCTGCTTTATAGCTTCTCGGGGCTATAGAGTCTTTTTCCGTGCGTCAATTGGGCGACCCAGATGGGACACTCTCTGTCATGCTGCAGGACCTGCTGAGGACAGGACTCCCTAGGGTACCCCCAGGTGATTTCTTGGAGGGACTCCTCGACTCATTCAGATCACTGCAGGGACAGACAAGGACCATCTCAATGGACAAGGTATTCTTTTTCTTTTGTTTTGTAACTGTAACGATAACTATGGCTGACAAGGTTGGTATCCCATAACATGTGGGAGACGTCCTGTGCGAGGCAGGGTGCAGGAGTCTGGAGTCCCAGAGTACTCATGTAACTTTTTCAGTAATCCAGGACTGTGAGTTAGAGGTCCACAGTAGGCCCTTTGGGGTATATCCTGGACTTGTATGTTGTTTGGTACTGGTAAAATTGACTATGCCTGAATCTGGTCTGGAATTGTGGTTGAGATAAAGTTTTTTGAATTGTTTTAATCTATTGTGTCTGTCCCTTTTTTTTGTCAGTTGTCAGTAATTAGAATTTATTTTAAATGTATGATTATAGCATCTGATTTGTGTTGAAGCAAATGCGGGAGAGAATGAGACATGTTATTGACATGAAGTGGGTGCAGAGTCTCGAGCTGCAGTTCCACTATCCTGAGAGGGATGTGGTCAGCGACAGACGAAGTGAGTGGTGTGAAAGGCTTGAGAAAATCAGACACGCCTGAGACATGGAATTGAGCATGAAGCAAGCGTTGAGTTCCGTTCCATGGTTCTCTTATCCCGCAAGGGGTGTGGGTGGAGATGAATGAAGCGAGTGAGATATTAAGTAACACTAAGAACATTTTGGAAATTGTATGGGAAAAGGAACTGGGGAAAGCAGAGTGCATAGATTTTTTCTGATATATTGTTTGGCATTCCCCTGTCCCCAGTGTAAAAATTGTCAATCAGCAATTGAATCTGTGTGCAGGGAATGTCATTGGTCTAAGTTTCCCTGCATATAATTGTTATTGGACTCCCCCAATTGATCTATATAGTAAAATTTGTGGAAAGTTTTACCTCCCTACCTGGTTTTGTTGCTGTAATTGAAGGAGGCTTACTCCTGAACAAGAACAATTAGAAATTCAGAATGGGTGGGTCACAGAGTGGAGGAATTTTGCTGTATTATAGCTCATTGGAAAGATATAGGCAAACTTCCATGAGGGAGCATAAATCAAAAAACTCTAAATATTGTCAAAGGAATGGCTGTAGCAACAGTAGCTGCTTTAGAGCAAGAAAGAAAAGGAGGAAATAACAAAAGCTATAGAGCCTTAAGGGACCCTGGTAAAAAAATAAGAACCAATCAGCCCAGAGGTATATCAAGGGATCAGTGCGCCTTTTGTAAAGAAAAGGGACACTGGAAATAAAATTGTCTCAAGTTACAACCAAGCCAGATTTTAGCTGCCACCTCCGAGGAGGATTCACAGGCACCTGGGGAGTTCACCCTAGCAGATCCACTGGTTATAGTAAAGCTAGGGAAAAAGAAACAAGAAATGGAATTTTTAATAGACACAGAGGCTTCCTTTTTCTTGTCAAGAATTAGTGCCAAAAGACCAAGATTTTGTCATGGTAGTGTATATGCATATTTTTAAGTGAATAAATATATATTCTTGTCAATTGGTGTGCGTGTTTAGAGGAGCGATCCCCCATGCATCCATCACTGCAATAAAATATACCTGCTTTATAGCTTCTTGGGGTTATAGAGTCTTTTTCCTCACGTCAACAGAGACTTAAACTGAGGAAGGAGAGGATTCTAAATCAGGTGATGGAGCAGGTACATCTCAAAAAGAGAAAGGAGCAGGCCCTTCTCAAGCAGATAGAACAGCAGGCCCTCCTCAATCACATGACGACGATGACCTTGTCCAGCCTTTCTCTATGAAGGAACTGTGCCTCATGAGAAAGGACTTCACAGTCCTCTGATTCTTTGCTCTGATTCTTTGATAGTGGTGCTGAAACCCATAACGTGGATGAAAGAGAAGCCAAGCAGTTGGAATCCCTGGCCAGAGATGCCAGAGATTGATAGAGCACTTGGTATTAAGGTGGGGACTACCACCCTGTGGGACCAGCTTCTTTTTAACTGTGAGATACCCCCATAAGGGTGACATTGAATGGCACCGAAGCAGAACACCCACTCTTGAGAAAGCCATCATGTATTTGAGAGAAATAGCTGTGCAAGAGGTGATCTACGACAAAGATGGACTTACAAATCCTGATGATGTTCTGTGCAACACATAAATGTTCTGGAGGTTTGCTCAGGCTGTACCAGCAGCACATGCCCATATATTCTCCTTCATGAGATGCTTTGATGATGACGCAAGACCAACTGCGTGTGAAGTGGCTTTCAAAGCACACAGTATGGAGACGTAATCTCTGATTCCCATCAGTTCCACACCTCAGCCATTGAACAAATGACTAACAGAAAGAATAAGATGCCAACCAGATAGGGAGATAAACCCCAGAATCTCCCTGGAGATAATTGGTCACGTGTCGCAGCCATTAAGAAGAGACATCCTGCTATGAGACAGCAGTGAGAGAGACAGAACCCACTTTGACGACACCTGTGGTCTCTCTT